GCCCCCCCCTGAGGGGGCGCGCCCTGCCGGTTGTGCCCGGGCTGCGGGTTCCAAAGTGGAGCCGTGCCCGAGTCTGCGTGCAGCCGTGTGCCCGCGTGCCGTCGAGCCGTGTCTCGGAAGTACGTGAGCGGCTCTGATTTGGGGACCTCTGTGGGATACCTCTGGGGGACGCGGCCAGGGGCCCTAGGGCCTCTCTCCTCTCAGCCAAGGACCGTCCCGTTCCGCCGGGCCATGCTGACTGGCATCCTCCCCAGTGTTCCTGTCGCCCCGCGCCCCCGCCAGCGTGTGGCACTGTCTCGTGGGAGGTGGCCGTGTGAGCCCTGTGGTGGTCTGGCCGGTGTCGCACTGCCCTGGAGCTGAGTCCCCCGCGGCTTTTCGTATCACTGGTCTCTGGGTTCGCTGTGATGCGCCCCTCCAAGTCCTGCTCGTGTTTCCTACGGTTTCTGGCTCTCGTGTCTGGATACACGACCATGGCTGGACACTCGTGTTGGCGTGTGGCGGCAGTGCCGACATACACGCCTTCCCCCATGTACCTCGCCTTCCACCCCTCCCAGCTTGAGTGAGGAACGGCCGACAAGTGAACGCATCCGTGTCCCCTGCGTGCACCGCGACGTGGGGACCTAGCACATGCTGCGAAATAACTAACCCAGCTGATGAGCGACCCCTCACGTACCTACCAGCTCTGGCGAGCGCGCTGAGGGTCTGCCTCAGCAGGTTTCAGGCTCATTCATGTCTCGGTGAGAGACGAGTGTGAGCGTGCATGCCAACAGCCTGAGGCCGCGCTCCACCTCCACGTGCAGCCAGCCGGGCCACGGGCTTGTGCGTGCACTGTACTCGGGTCCCACCGGCTGTGAGCCTGGGACCCCGTGTGGAGCAGGTCCTCTCGGCAGGTCCCACGTGCAGAGAATGGCATTGTCACTCGACTCGCTTTTCTCATACCGATCCTGTACAGCCTCACGCCAAGTTCTCCCCTCCCCCTGCCTTCCCGGTTCTTAACGGCACCATTTGATGGACAGAAACCCTCTTTTTGAATAAGGTTTTTACCATAGGAGGCGTGTGCTTGCCAGACAGAGACAGTGAGGGGGAAGTGAGAAATCGCTCCCAGGGGCGTGGCCATGCTGCAGTCCCTTCTCCATTCTCCCCCTGGGATTTTGGGCAGGCGAGCACACGTGCACCCAGCGTGATTTTCAAGCCACTGTGTCTAGGACTCAGACCACGGTTGGCCATGTGGGACTCAAGCACCTTAACCACTATGCTACCTGGCGGCTTGGTGGACACCGTTTCTTAATGTGGTCCATTATATCGGTCTTTATTAATGGTTGTGAGGGACCAGCACATGGTGTAATGGTTACTTTGCTGGACTCCCGTGTAGTTGACTGCAGTTCAAGTCTTGGATCCGGTGGCTTAAAATACATGGGAGGTGTGTGTGTCCAAAATCCAAAGAGAATGGAGGAGAAGGGATTGCAGTGTGGCCATCCCTCCTGGGGGTAATTTCTTGCTTTTTGTCTTTCTCTCTCTCCGGCAAGCACACATGGCCTAGACCAAAAATCTCTCTTATAAAAGGGAGAAAGGGGACCAGCAGTTAGCGTAATGGCTATGTCGCCGGACTCCCATGTAGTCAACACAGTTTGCGTCCCGGACCCGGTGGCTTAAACTCACGCGGGGCGTGTGTGCGTACGTGCCCAAGATCCCGAGAGGAGAGTGGAGGAGAAGGGATTGCGGCGTGGCCATCCCCCTGGGGGGTGATTTCTCGCTTTCTGTCTCTCTGTCTCTCTCTGTATTTCTGGTGAGCGCACGCACCCTATAGCAAAAACCTCTCCAAGAAAAGAAAAGAAAAGGGGGGAATAATTTAGAAGAGTTTTTGGTTGTGGGTAGCAGGCTGGTGGAAACTCCTAGCGGGAAGCGCCCTGTCTCCTTTCTCTCTAGCTCTACGCTCCGCATGGAGCTGAGCTGATTCTGTGTATGGAGAGGGGAGTGGCCGCTCCTGGGTCTTCAGGCACCTGTGCCCGTGCCCTGTTGAGGCTCCCTGCCCCAGGGCCACTGCGTGAATCCGGGAAGCAGCTCTGCTCACGTGGCTTCCTCAAGACCGTCTCGGGTACCGTTTCACTTTTTAGAACTGATTTGCTGAATTGCAAACAAAATCTGCCAAAAATAATCTTTCCTACTGGAATATTCATTGGAGTCCATTGTTGTAGAGATGAATTTAGAAAGGAAGGACGTTTTATTTATAGGTAACTGAGCCTTCTAATACACAAACATGATACGTTTACTCACCGAAGACTTGATCAGGAATTTTTGGAATGCTGGTTTTATTTAGAGGTCTTACACATCTGTTGCTAGATTTACTCAGGTATCATTTTAAAATTTTTTTGATGTAGTTGCACATTCTTTCTCTGTGAATTTCTGTTTCTGGTTGCTGGTTTTTAAAAATGCAGGTTTTTGTTTATGAATGACTGGATCTAGCAACAAGGCAGGTCAGTTTTAACATGTGGGTGGATTTTGTGTGTGTCGGTTCTGTTTTTTTAAGGTTTCTGCCGTAGGCACGTGCTCTTGCTCGTTGAGGACGTTGAGAACGCACTCCCTCGCCCCGGGGGGATGGCCACGCTGCGGCCCCTCTGGCATTTTGGGCACGTGTGCACAGGCGCCCAGCAAGTTTTCAAGCTGCCAGGTCTGGGACTCAGCCTGCGCACCGGCTGTGTGCCCCCTGCCGTCACCACCGCGCCCCGGCGGGCCTCGTCCTTCTCAGAGCAGGCGTGGACGTCGGTTACCACCTCGCGTCTAGTCCGCCTCAGCCCCGGGGACCTCCGCGCTTGCCGTCCCCTGCCCGTGCGTGTGCGGCCTGACACGTGACTTTTCTTTCCGAGGGCAGCAGCTGCAGGTGGTTCCGCTGTTCGGGGACATGCAGATCGAACTGGCAAGATACATCAAGACCAGCGCCCACTACGAGGAGAATAAGTCTCGGTAGGCGTGGGAAGCCCGGCAGAGCTGCTGGGAGGCCCTTGGGCAGTGTGAGGCCACCCCGCGGTTGGGAACCTGGGGACCAGACTTTGCACATCCTCAGTGGTGGTCTGGATGTCCAACGGGGAGCTCTGCCCGGTGGCTCTTCACCTCTAAATCTGTTTAAAAACGCAATTGGGCCAGTAGGTGGCCCGGCGGTTAAGGCATCTGGATCCCACAAGGCTGGCTGCATGGTTCAAGTCCCAGACCAGGTGGCTTGAAAAACATGGTAGGCGTGTGAGCACGTGTGTCCAAACTCTCAAGAAGAGAATGGAGAAGAGGTTGTGTGGCCATCCTCCCCTGGGGTGTGATTTCTCATGTGTGCATGTGTGCGTGCACAACCCCCACAGCACACACACACTCCATCTTGCCAAAAACAAAAACAAAAAAGCCTAAGCCGTGAACCCTTAGGGGCATAGCCACCTCTCACACGGTCACTGGGCAGCGCCCCCCATGCCAGGCAGCGTGGGCACAGAGCACCGGTGTCACTCCAGAGGCTGCCATTGGCCTGGCCATGCAGTGTTCCGGAGCAGGCCTGTTTCTCCGTGCCCAGGCGTGTGCTGGTGCGTGCACTGGTGTGTGCTCAGCTGCCGGTCCCAGCAGGCCAGGCCGAGTGTATGCGTGACGGCAGAGTGAGGGCCAGCTCAGGCCTGGCCTATCTTTGCAAGGTCTCTAGAGCTGAGAGTGGTCATTATGTATTTTAAAAGTTGCCTTAAAAAAAGAAGAGGGCTCCCAGGTGACAGATGGGGAGAAATCGCTTGGCCCATAAGTCCGACGATGTTTGCTGTCCGGCTCGGCATAGAGAGCTGGCCAGCTCCCTCTGTCGGGGCACAGGCTCACGAAGGCTAGAGGTGACAGACACGCGGCCCTCATGTGGACTCCACGCACTGCCGTAGGCCGCCTGGTTGCCGTTCTGCGCGATGCGGAGGAGCCTGACTGCATCTCTGTCTCGGGGGTCAGCAGACCTTTTCCGTGCAGGCCAGACAGCGAGGAGTGGGCTCTGGGAATGTCCGACACGGTTTTGCATAGGAAACAAACACTGTCACGGCTTTCCCCACAACTCGGTGCTCAGGCTTTTCAGGCAGAGGTGGCCTCTCGTGTTGCCTTTTGCTTTTCTCTGAAGGTTTTGGCATAGCGCACGTGTGCTTGCCAGACAGAGACAGGAAAAGTGAGCAGACACCCCCGGGGATGGCTACACTGCGGTCTCCTCACTTCCCTCGGGATTTTGGACACGCACTCTGAGTGCCTGGAATGACTTTCAGGCCACAGGGCCTGGGGCTCAAACTGTGGTTGGCCCCGGGGAGCCCAGCACCCTCGCCACCACACCACCTGCCGGCCCCACTTGGTTTTCTGAACGACTAAACGTACAGAGGGTCAGGCCCTCGGCCCGCGGCGGGGCAGCGTGCCAGCCGTGCCCACGCGGCTGACGGGCCTCCCCCACGCAGCTGGACGTGCACGTCCTCGGGCAGCAGCCCACAGTACAACATCTGCGAGCAGATGCTGCAGATCCGCGAGGACCACATGCGCTTCATCTCCGAGCTGGCACGCTACAGCAACAGCGAGGTAGGCGCCGCCCCCTCCGCGTGCCCGGGCCTCACACCCGATGGGGCTTTCCGGGGTCGGACGATGGCGCTGCATCCACAGATAGATCCTGCCGTTCGCTTTTGTTGTCTCCGGACAAACAGGGAGCCCTGCGGAAAGGGCTGAGGGGAGACCACCGAACGGCCATTTCCTGGCCCAGTGCCGTGGCCCAGGTGGCTCGAAGAGGGTGGAGAGGGACAGCAGCGGGGTGGACGGGGCTTCCGAGCCATGGCTCGTGTCGGGACGGAGCGTGGTCCCGGGGCAGAGGGGAGCACTACATGCACTTCTCCCGACGCCCCATCCCGGGCACCCTCCAGTTGGCAGGACCCTGCCCTCTGCTTTGAGTGTCCACAGTGGAGGCCGCACACCCAGATGGCTCTGGTTCTGTGTGAGCGGTCGAGTGTGGTCCCGGGGCAGGTGTGCAGGGCAGAGGGCGAGCCCAGTGCTTGTGCTGCAGGTGGTCACCGGGTCAGGCCGCCAGGAGACCCAGAAGACGGACGCCGAGTACCGGAAGCTCTTCGACCTGGCCCTGCAGGGCCTGCAGCTCCTGTCGCAGTGGAGCGCACACGTCATGGAAGTGGTAGGCCTGCCCTGCCCCGGGCACCTGTTGGGTAAAAATGCTTTTCGTCCCGAGCGCGTCCAGGAATCGACTAAGAGAGATGTTTTCTGCCTCACCTTTGGCTTAGGGTTGAAAATGCATCAACGCGTCATGGGCCGGGACGCTAGCACGGGCACCGGTGAACATCTTCTAGGGCATCTGGGTGCATTTCATCTGTGTGTGTTACAGATGAAAGTCTGTCTGCTTTTTGAGAGAGATTTTTTGCCATAGGGCCTGTGTGCTTGCTAGAGAGACACTGTGTGCTTGCTGGAGAGACAGTGAGAAATCGCCCCGCTAGGGGATGGCCGTGCTGCAGTCCCTTCTCCGTTGTCTCTGGACTCTGGGCACGCACGCACACACGCCCGGTGTGAGTTTCAGTTTTAGTATGTGTGTTGCTGAGGCGAACACAACCCACTGTGAGTTTCAAGCCCCTGGGTCTGGGACTTGAACCACGGTCAACCACGTGGGGGTCCACGATGTAACCATTATGCCCACTGCTCGTCCCAAGGGTCTCATGTTTTAAGACGTGTTACTAGACTAGGTCCGCACCATCGCGTGTGTGTGAGCAGGTACACGTGCTCTCCAGAGTGTGAGCGAGCCACTGTGAGCACCCAGCAGCCGTGACCATGCCGCAGCCCTTCCACCTCGTCGGGGTTGGCCACCCAGCATGTCTTCAAGCCCCTGGGGCCAGGATTCCAGCGCAGTTGGCCACCATGGTCCGGGTCCCTGTGCATGTGCTGAGCTGCTGTGGACAGGGTCTTGGCACGTGGCAGTCCCGCTGTCCCGGAGGCCCAGTTAGCAAGGACCACTGGCGTGTGCTACCACAGCTGGTCTGCGCTTTAGGCTGGAGCCAAACCCGGCCTCCCCTGTGGCCTCAGCCTCTGTGCATCCAGGGCCTCCCACTCGCCCTGAAGATTTTTTATTCCTTTGAGAGATTTTTGCTACAGGGTGTGTGCACTCACCTGAGAAACAGAGAAAGACAAAGAGACAGAAAGTAAGAAATCAGCCCCAGGGGGAGTGGCCACACTGCAATCCCCTCTCCTCCATTCTCCTCTTAGGATTTTGGATGTGCACGCACACACATTTTAAGCTGCCAAGTCTAGGACTTTAAGCACCATCTGCCGGTCCCTTGCCCTGATGCGCATATATATATATGCATTTGTAAAGAATTATTTATTTAATTTTAACATTTACTTGTTTGTTTATTATAATTTTCTGACCGGGTGAGGGTTGGGGGAGAGAGAGAAAGTAAGAAAGAAGCCATCGGGTTGGGCATTCGAGCCGTGCTTGGCCACGTGGGAGTCAGCACCTTAACCACCACACCACCTGCTGACACTTTGCCCTGGTGTTTTCAGCATTTTCTCCTTGGCATCCTAACCACTAAGCCTTTCGTGTAGCTTTAGTAGTTTCTGGTGCCGGTAAAGATTGGCAGAGCTGTCACGAAGGCTGTCCCTTTCGTGGTTCATTTTGAGCAGATAAGAGCGATCCGCTTGGATGCATACGTGACCACGTACAGGAGAAGTTGTTTTTCATTGGTAGTGAAGAGCCCAGGGTCTTAGATATTCAAACACAGCGTCTAGGTCATTTTGCCGGGTGTGTTTCTTAAACCGGAAGTCGCAGGACTGGGGTGTTGCCCTTTTCCGGGGGTGGATAACGTGTGTGTCTGTGCCTGCACGTGTGTGTGCAGCTTGTAGAAGGCAGCAGGTCTTCGAAGGCCAGCCTTCTGGCCTTGGCAATGGCCACGTGGGTCAGTGGAGTTGGCGTTTGGTACCCGCGTGAACGCCCGTCCTCTCTGTCTACCCCAGTACTCCTGGAAGCTGGTGCACCCGACCGACAAGTACTCCAACAAGGACTGCCCCGACAACGCGGAGGAGTACGAGCGTGCGACGCGCTACAACTACACCAGTGAGGAGAAGTTCGCGCTGGTGGAGGCGAGTGCACGGCCGCTGGGCCTGCACCCCTCGGGCCTGCAGGCGGGCGGTTCCTCTTTGTTCCCTGGGGTCTTTGTTTGTTTGTTCTTATTTATTTATTTATTCAAGGGGGGAGAGCGAGCGAGCTGTAACCGGAGAGAAAGAGAGGGAATGTGAGAAAGCAAGCCACTAGGTCAGGGACTCGAACCACCGTTGGCCATGTGGGAGTCCAGCGCCCTAGCCGCCACACCTGCCAGCTCCTTGAGTATTGAGTTGTAAGAGTTTTGTATATTCTAGATACCAGATCCTCTTTTTGTTTTTTTAAAGAGAGATTTTTGCAACAGGGTGCGTGTGCTCGGCCCCTGGGGGGCTGGCCACACTGCACTCCCTTCTCCTTCATTCTCCTTTTGGGATTTTGGGCGTGCACACAGACGTGACTGGTGTGAGTTTGCAGCCTCCGGGTCCGGGACTTGAACCATGGTCGATTACATGGAAGTCCAACGACATAACCATTACCCCATCTGCTAGTCCCAGTTCCTTTTTTTAAAAAAAAAATTTATGTATTATTTTTTAATTTGCTATTGGACACGCACACTCACCGGAGAGAAAGAGAGTGAGAAAGCAGGCTGCCAGGTCTGGGGCTCGAACCGTGGTTGACCACGTGGGAGTCCAGTGCCTTAACCACCACATTACCTGCCGGCCCCAACGCATATGATTTCTCTTCCTTCTATTCTAAGAGTTATCTTTTTTTTTTTTAGTTCTAGGGCGCGTGTGCTCGCCAGACAGAGAGAGACATCTAAGAGTAATCTTCTTAGCTTTTTAATAGAGATTGTATTTAAAATATTTATTTATTTACTTTGATTTATTATTTCAATTTCTTAAAATTTCTATTTATTTATTTATTTATTTTGGAGAGGTTTTTGCTATAGGGTGTGTGCACTTGGCAGCAAGACAGAAACAGAGAGATAGAAAGCGAGAAATCACCCCCAGAAGGGTGACCACGCCACAGTCCCTTCTCCTCCTTTCTGCTCTCAGGATCCTGGGCACGCATACATACGTGCCTGGCGTGAGTTTTAAGCCACCGGGTCCAGGACTCGAACTGTGGTCAGCTACATGGAAGTCCAGCGACATAGCCATTATGACAACTGCTAGTCCCAGAGCTGGGCTCTTTATGTGCTTTTTAAAATAGAAGTCTCTCTTTAAAACTTTATATTGTAGGGACCAGCAGTTAGCGTACTCCCACGTAGTTGACCGCGGTTTGTGTCCTGGACTCGGCTTAAAACTCATGCCGGACGTGTGTGCGTGCGTGCTCAAGATCCTGAGAGGAGAATGGAGGAGAAGGGCTTGGCGTGACCATCCCCCCTGGGGGGTGATTTCTCACTTTCTGACTCTCTGTCTCTCTCTGTCTGGTGAGCGCACATGCCCTATAGCAAAAACTTCTCAAAAAACAAAACAAAACAAAAAACTTTATATTGTAAAAGTGATGGAAAATCACCCAACAATTCCCCCAAATAAACACATCCAAACTTACACGTGTTGTTAAGACAGCATGTGCGCAGCTGTCACGGCCGGGCCTGACACGGTGCAGTGCGTGTCCTTCTGCCTTGCTGGTGTGTGAGTCCCACATGCCACTGTGTAGACCAGCGGGGTGTGGGCTACACGCGCGTGTGGGGTTCTGTTCTAGTTACTAGCGTATCTGCCTTCCCGACTCCTTTTGCCCCCCTCCCATTTGAAGTCCAGGGTGGGGGTGCACCCTTCTGGGAGTGGGCGTGTCCCTGCCCTCAAGGTGCTGGTTCGATCAGAGACGTCTGAGGCCACTCCGGGAGGGGGTGAGGGCGGAGCGGGGACCTGGGAGCTGAGAGCGGGGGCCCGGTGCGTGAACCCGAGGCCGGCCCGCCCTGTGGCTGAAAGCCGTGCCTTCGCAGGTGGTCGCCATGATCAAAGGCCTTCAGGTGCTGATGGGCCGGATGGAGAGTGTGTTCAACCACGCCGTCCGGCACACCGTCTACGCTGCGCTGCAGGATTTCGCGCAGCTGACCCTGAGGGAGCCGCTGCGGCAGGCCATCAAGAAGAAGAAGAACGTCATCCAGAGGTAGCCCCCGCCCCGGCAGCCATGCGCGGTCGTACAGGGCTGGCGTCTGTCCCGGCCCGGGGTCCTCTGGGTCACGTTGAGATGACAACAGTGGGGCGGGCAGGTAGCTCCTGCACAGCCAACCGAGGCAGCCAGAGTCTGGTTGGGAGTCAGGAGACCCCGGGGCCAGGGCGTGTCTGTCTCGGATGGGAAGAGCCACGGTCCTGTGGGACACGCAGCCCGTGGCCTTCCCCCGGGTGCGTCTTGGTGTCCGGTAGCTTCGCTGTCAGAGATGGGGCAGATCGGCCGGAACCCTGGCAGGCTGGAGCCCGCTTTCTCTTACCCTCGATCCTTCCCGACAGGGTTGCCTTCAGGGGCACCTGTGGGCTGGAGCTGGCAGGGCTCACAGCGCTGGTCAGCACGCGGTCAGCACGCGGTCAGCATCACGGCTGAAGGGGCTTAGGCAGTGGTGCTCACCGGCGGGGCCTCCGTGTCCACGGGGATTTTAGTGAGGTTGCCGCCCGAGTC